AATTGCAGACTCATTGCTGATCTGGACATGCCTGGGACAGAAAGGATAGAGAGACAGGTATCAGAACTTTCTGCGGTACAGCATTCTGCCTCTGCACTCTGAAGGGTCAAAGATGAGATAAGGAGCTATCTAGATAGAGACAGGAACGATGGTCTAAGTTCAGGACTGGAAATTTTGTTCTTCCCAAATCAATCCTGAGCTAACACACAGTTCCTGGGCAGCCTGTGGCAATCATTCTGAGAAGTGGCAAATGCTTCCCCTCAGTAAAGCTCTTTTAAGGAACATAAATAGCAGAGTCTCTGAAGCACTTCTAGGCTCACTAATTTAAATTAATCTGGAAACGACAGATAATTTGTGGAAATATATAATAAACTTTCACTGTACAGCAAATTTTAACTTCCTGTAGTGACACTGCTCAGATGACCAAAACACTTGTCTGAGGGATGAACCCTACATGCTGCAACACAAAACTGGCAAAGGTGTTTGATAGGATTTTAACTCCTTGTTTACTTCTAACTACCCGTCTCTCCTCACAAAAAGCTATGTCAGCACAAAGAAGCCCTATGGACTTACAAAGTCCTTCCCCCTTTTATCATCTCTCTCAGAGTTTTACAGATCTTGCTAGCATATTCCAAGATTTTCAGGGCCTCCAAAACAAACAGACATCAGTTCTTCATCCTAAGCAACTAGAACATTTATTTGCACAAGTTTTATCAAAAAACAACCCAAACAAACCCAAAACAAAAAAAACAACCAAAAAAAAGTCTGGCTCAGCAAAAGGCATTCATTGAATACTCCCAAAATTCAGTGGACACTGCACAAGCTCATGAGTCACTTTTTCATGACAACATGCTACATAGCCATAGAACCAAATCAACTCTGGAAGCAACAGCAGAACAAAACAAAAGATCTTAGTGTTAAGCCAAATAAGCACCAAATAGCTAAAGGGAGCTTCATAATAATGACAAATTTAGGCATAGATATCAAATAGGGTGCTAAGGTGCATAATAGGTTCAGATAGAAGATGCACAAGCAACAGACACAGTAATAAAATCAGTGGGCCACTAAAAGAACTTTGTTATGCGCCACTTCGGGGGCTGTTTGTAGTCATCCCACAATCCGACTCTGGGAAGTACAAAGAAGGATTATAAAGGATTTGGTTTTTGCATTAAAACCAGTAAACAGTTCCCTCACCGTGCACACAGTAACATGCAAAAACGAAAGCCTGTGCCAACTAGCAAGCATCTGAGAGGGAGTTCATTACCACTTCTGAGGAAGGAGACCAGGAATACAAGCCAAAAGCAGCTTTACTCAAACTCCTCTTTAAAACACCTGCTCCTCTTACAGAGAGGGCACAAAGCTACAACTTGGACGGCTTTGCACCTCCTTAGCAGAAGTTAACTAAGCTTGAAGAGAAAGTCACTCCATTTATAGTGATATCAGTGTACAAAACACTCCTCACTAAGAACCTTCGACACTCCTGGCAAGAGTTCAGGGTGCAGTTCAGTGGCAGCACAAGTCCATCCAATCCCACCTGCTGTGGGACTCTCCCTACCCGTGCACTGTGCTTGTACTGGTATAAGCAGGCAGTGATGGACAAGGAAGAAGCTGTCTCTGAGAAGCAATCCAGCCAAAACCTGCATCAGTTCACTTGGTATTCACAGAGACACCGATGCACAGGAAGAAGCAGAAGTGCGCAGCCAGCAGCGAAGGGGAAGCAAAGCTTTGGCACCTATGGATTTCAAGCTCTGTTTCCATGAGGATCTATTAGGATGGCGGAGCTCTTTTAAACAGGCCTGTCCTCCACTCCAGTGCTTGTTTTCATGTCTGAATCATACCAAGTACTTACATAGACATTCAGCTGATTTTAAAAACAAAAAATCCACCAAAACCCTCCCAAAACCCAACCCTAAACCCAAAACCAACAGGCAGAAACAAAACCAAAACCAGCTTCCGCAGCTGGGTCAGGTCACTGACCTAGTTTACTGTGTTGCTTCACAAACAGCTGACCTGGCAGAGTGCAAGAATGGGAATAAGCAGTTGGGCCTTGCTACTGCATGTGAAGCTACAGTGCTTGCAAGCACCTCTGATCTGATGTTCTAACCCACACAGTTACTGTCATAAAAGACAGACAGCAAATGCAGCAAAACTGCATGCAAGACCTGCAGTATTTTCCATTCTGAGGATGACACTGTACAGTAAAAAAAAAATTCTTTCACAAAAGTTTTTTTAGTCAGACAGTGTAACTGTGCTATAGAATATAATTTTGTAATTAAACTACTTTTAAATTCAGCCAATTTGCAGAAGCCCTCCTAAAGAAAGCAAGGTAGCAGGGTTTTGGTTTTCTCAGCATCACACAACATGACCCCACTAAAATACATACTAAAAATGCTCTTGGATCTCCCTCCCCTTGCACCCATACACGCCTCTGTCATCTCTCAAAAAAATGCAGGAGTAACTTATTTACTTACAGATAGATGTTGTCAAAAGTGCCATCTTTTTCACAGATGTTTAAGACATGATTCAACATTTTAGTTCCTGTCGAAAGGTAAAGAGATACTTAAGAAAACCAGAAGTGCACAATCGAGTCTGTACTTAGCTAATGGCCACCTTGAGGAGAGGCAGGTTAACTGTAGGTAGGCTAAAATGCCAGAGCTTGTGAGAACTAGGAAGGGCAAATAAAACATTGTGTATAAGTATTTCACTACCTTGCTGACTGCTCACAGAATTTAATTCATTATTTATTTGGAGAAAAAAAATAAATAAATCCAGCAGCCCAGAAGCATATGCACAAAGCAGCTTATTTAAACACTAGCTTCAAGGTCTCAAACTCACCTGAAAATAAAGTCAAAACAATATATAAAGCAGTGAGAGAGCAATGGTAAGTTTTTCTAATAAAGACCTAATAAAATAATTTAAAATAAAGTTATCTTTTCATTCCAGTTTGTCAGAGCAAACAGGTTAATTCAAGGTCTTAATTAATCTGGTCTATTGATTTGCAACATGGAGAACAGAACTAAATGCAGTACAGATAGAAAGCAGGTACTACCCCTGAGCAGCAATAATCAGTAGTGATAAAGACAAAATAAATAGAAAAAACCCTACATTTAGAAGCATGAAAAGATAACACAATGAAGAAATGTCATGTTCTAATTACATATGACTTACATGCTGGCTGCATACCTCTGAAATTATTTCACATCTCTGTGCATCAATTTTCACATCTATAGAAGTAGAGTATTTACATGACAGTATGATAATGTGATTATGATTAAAATTATCTGAAATCCTGAATTAGAAAGTTCTAAAAAAAGTCAATTTCTGAAAGGCACGAAGAAAATAGCACATCATAAATCATACTTTCCCCAAAGTGCCTTCCAAAGAAATCAGTGGTCTAGAAGTTAAAAATCTGAAAGAGCATTTAGAAGGCTGCAGAGCAATCTGGTTTCTTTGATGACTCAGGGACAAAGGAAGATCCTCCTTACCTATTCCTAGCCTTCGGTAGGGTGCTAGGCATCCAAGTGTCATGATGTACAGTCTCTTCTGGTTCTGGGAGTGATCCACCCTACAGCACACTGCTCCCACTGCAATATCATTGAAATAGGCTGCCAGGGAGGGAAACAAAGTGTTATCGGTCACAAGGCTCACCCTGTACATACAGCTCCTTCATTTACACCTTCCATCTTCCTTCCCTCCCTCTTGCTAATTCTCCCATCCAGATAAAATATCACACACTGTGGCTTAACACTTGCAGTGAAGTTACCAATGCTGCTTTGACACGGTGCTTGGCTTATTACAGTCCAAGCCAACTAGCAATGACACCAGGAGGCAAGCTGGTAGTGCGCATACCTCAAGCTTTCTGCTGTAACAGAAAACGTGCCTATTCCCAGTAAAATGGAATCTGTTTAGAACACAAACCCTCTGAGGTTGGGACTGTGGGTTTTTTGAGGTTCCCAAACAGTTATTTTTCATTATGTAAAACAAGAAAACAGAAGGATCTGCTATTCAAAACCATTACGGATAGCAATGATGAGCACTTCTGCTACCACAGCCCGCAATTACTGGCAAGAACATTTGTACCTAATTTGGCTAGTTCGCCAACCTCCAGTACGTCCTTGTAGAACTTGTCATTGTAGCTGACAGGAAAAATGACCTGGTTTAGCCTCTTCAGCTGCTTAATGTTGTGTGGCGTCACATCTCCCAGCTCGATCCGGCTACTGGAACAAATCAAAACATGCTTAACATCCGACACACTGCAAAATTTCTAAGGACAATGAATTATTTTATTTATGCTTAGAGAACTGTCCCACCTAATAATCAGCTCAATACATATTTGAACTGCAGTGTTCAACCCATACAATTAAGTCCTCTGTTGGTGGCTGATTTAACTCCCAAACCCAATTTCAGTTAGTACTGTACAGTCAGAAGTTTCTCAGGCCACACTTACCACTGACGTATCATAGATTACATGTGGTTTCATTGGGTGGGAGACAGGAGAACACAAATCTCTGTAGGAATATTAGCTTTCACTTTATCCCATTAATTCCCTCACTGATCATCAAGATCACAGGGGTAGGGTGGGCACTTGTTCATATTCCCAAAGCCAATTTCTTGGGTGCAGGCAGTTTTAACAAGGACTACAAGAATGAAAAATAAAAAAAAAAACCCAAGATAAAATGTTTTCCCACATGGTCACCAGAATATGTTGGCAGGTACAAAGCCAACACATGTCAAATTAAAACCACACACAGTTTGAGGTTCATCTCAGCCTTGTTTTACCAAATACATACAGGTAACCAGACTGTTTTCTGCCCAAACATTGGTAAAGACTCTGTTTGCTCCTTTTTTTTTTAAAGTCAAATTCTATTTTCATAAAGGCAGCTTTCCAAGATCCTTGAAGCCTCGCCAGGCTTCAAAGTTTGCTCTAAAGTGCAGTAGCTGCTTTCCATCCTCAACGGCTCTTGTGCCTAGGCAGCTTGGTTTTTGTTCATATAGGTTGATGTTTAGGACACAACAGCCCAGATTAACTTACAAAATACAGTGAAACAAAGAAGATATAATAACCACCAACTTTTTTCTTCAAGAACTGTACCAAGCAATGCAGAGGATAATCTGCCTCTGTTTCATTAATTGTCCTTAATTATACATCAAAAACCCTTAAACAATTAGTACTCCAGGTCTTTTATCAGTTTTAGTGTTGCTACCAATGATGGGTGATAAATAAACAGTGTTTTCTAGGCGTTGTACTGCAGCCTGCAAAATTTATCAGAAAAAGTTACAGGAACGGAGCCTTTAACTTTTACTTCTAGAAGCAAAACTTGCCCCCACACCCACTTTCTCCTTTACTTTCACAGCAAAGAATACAGTCTTCAGTTCTGCAAAGATCACAACTGCCCCCTCTCCACTATGACACAGATCAGACATCCTCCCCAGTGAGCCCTACAGAAGCTAAACCATTTTAAAGTAGGGCTTACCTTTTAGAGAACCGTCTAGAATTAACTAATGGACTATTGATGATTTTGTCATTCTTCATCAGATGAATATGTTCCAGTTACTACTTAGAATTAATGGCTGGCATTTACATATTGATCTTTGCTGACTTGGAAGTCTAACACTTCATCACACATTTGCCAAAGAGATTAAAAAGGCCCCTGGTGTCAAGCATCTCATGCCAGTATGGGTGCTTGCAAATTGTTCCTGGCAGCTCCTCATCTATCTCACCCCTAGCACACTGAACACGTTGATCTTTTTCCTGCCTTACTGCAAGGGCAACTGATAAGCAACAAATCCTTGTGGCTTGCCCCTGAGCTCTGCCCAATTGTACAGCAATCTCTCGAGAAACATCTCACTAGATCTTTGACAGCATGTTCTCCAGCAGTGTTCTCAAGAATGATAGAAGAAGCAAGTCTCCATATTCTTGCATCTCATCCATGCCAGGATATCCACGTACAAAACAAGCAATAGCAATGAGACACCTTTCTAAAGTTTCTAGCTATAACCCACTATGTTGTGCTGAAAGACTCTGCACTATCTCTTTTCCATGACTCCTACCACCAGCAGCCCTTTGTTTCACAGCCTTTTCAGTCTTCGAGATTATTTTTGCTCTCAGTATTAAGATTCCTTTCTTAATGTATCACCACTTGTGCAAGCCCCTTCGATAATTATATTCCAACATAAAGTAAGTACTGAGCTAGTAAGGAGGATCTCCTCACACCACAGAGGCACTCCCATTGTAACCAAGCATGCTATCACAGTTATTAGACAGTGGGGTAACTGCAACACTTGTTTTATGCCCAGCTGAGCACAATGGTTCAGGCTAGCATGGCAGGGCTTCTTCAGGCACAGAAGGCAAGTTATGCCCTTCTCTAACCCTAGCCAGCAGTGCTGCTACTTTTTCCTCACAAAGAGGAGGAATAAAACTGTGGCACATGGGTTCCCAGATGTATTTGTGTCTGGGAGAGAGAAGAGCACCTCAGCAATCTCATACTAGCAGTAAAGATAAGATCCAGCAGCCTCTTTTGTTGCAGTCTGCATCAGAGTGGAAACCAAAGGGAGCAGGTCTCCACTGCCCAGTTAAATCAGATTAGCTGCAGAGTAGGACATAAGTAAATGAAGATAAAAACCACATGTTCACACTCAGCCCCTTGAAAGCCTAGACCTCTTTGCCCAAAAGATTTAATAGCATATTAACTGTGGTGATATTTTTTTGTATCAGTAGATCCAAGCTTCAGCAGATCAGTAACGCTAGCATGAACTCTTACAATGAGCTGATGGCAAAGTCGTTCTAGAGCAAGTCCCTTTTTATACTTGACCAAAAATCTCTGACACAGACTATTATCAGGTAGTGTTTTCTAGTATTATTTTAAAATTAGTTACTAATGAAGCAAGAATTCAGGCCTTAGAAGACAGTCACTATGTATTATTTCTGACAACAGTGCAATAAAGGTATGTTGTCAGGGGCAGCCAGGACAAGATGGCTGAGAAAGGAACCATGGCCAGAGGATGGACTTTCACCAAAAAGGTTTCAGACAGGGAATTAATAAAGTGCAGAAGCAGAGTCTAAGGCTGCTCATAGCTGCTGAGCCAAGACATCACCTCTGAGGCTGGCATCAGGCCAGAGAAACAAGTTCCAGTAGTGGGTGACTACAAGGTGCTGTTGACAGATCTCCTAGAGCCCTTGGGCTCCCCCCCCATCCCTCACCACTTGCCATACTCATTGCTGCCTCCTGCCATCTCCTGCCTGCCTCCTGCGTTCTGTCACTAGATGTTTCCTCATTGCTCAAGAGTTGCACCAGGGACAGTAATTTATCCTAGAGGATAATATGAAAAAAGTTTGAGAAACACTGCAGGAAGCATAAATCAACACACTAAATATATCTGTTTAAATAGCACATACTCAAACCATAAATTCCTTTAATGTACAGCACTAGCTGATTAAATCAGCGCAACAACTATTACACACAAAAACATTTAATAAGTAAACTAAATGAAGACGTGGAAAGGAAGACCCACATCTTGAGAGTTCATCACTTTGCCTGAGGACAGCACGACAAAAGTGCCACTGGGGCCTCGAGTAAAACACAGGAAAGCTGGCACTGCTGCCAAGAGCAGCATTCTTGCTGTCCCCAAGACACCCATTTCCACCCTTTTGCTGGCACAAACATTTGTGCAACAGTGTGGTGAACCAACCTCAATTAAAACTAACCTAGCCAAAAAAAGAAAAGTTTATTTTTAACCCACATCAGTCCCCTGATGGGGTTCACCACACAAGTCTTCTGACAGCATAAAGAAGAGAAAAAAAATTGCCAGAGGCAGAACTGGTCAGTTCTTGAGCAGAAGTGCCAGCCTGCCCCAGTTTAAATGGGAAGCACCGTGCAAGAGGAGCACAGGGATCATTCAGTATCTAGATGATTCTGTGCTACACCTTATCGTTTGTGGAGCGACATGCACTTCAAACCTAAGGACTTAAAACCATGCCAGCCTCAAAAGATTCAAGACAAAGCACCTGTTACAAAGGACACAATATAGTCACTCCTTTCTTTTCCCTGGAGTAATGGAAATAACTTTGGGGTTTTGGGTTTTTTTGGTTTGTTTGTTTTTTAATATCTATTTACAAGTAGACCTGCTTCTTCAAGTTACCTCTCAGCCAAATGAGTAACACAAGTTTATTCTGCCAGTTAAGGTGTGATTAGGCCAGTCCTGTGCACTCCAGCTCAGTGCAGGCTATACCAGAAACACCTATCTTCTGCTGTGGCAAAGAAACAAATTAAATCATGAGCTCAAATTAGCATATGAGAGAACATAAAGATGTGTAAAGAGCCTGAAATGCCCAGAAGGGACATGCCCTTCCTTAACAGATTATTTTATTCTGTTATTCCAACCATATTCCTAAGAAGATACACACTTATTACTGGCATCCTACATCTCAAATAGCATTCCATGAAGAACAGAACAGTCAACTGTACTCAAGTGTCAAAGCTTCTGGACCAAGTCAGCTACCTCATCCCAAGCAACTGTTTTTAATATGGAAGAATGAGGGATTCTTGGCTCATCATGCCAAGCCTCTTATTACTATAGAGCTCTACAAATCCATACCCTTTCCTAGATGGAATACCAGCCCTCTGAAGCCACTTAAACATCTTCCATTGCAAGGCTGTTCCCAAGCTACCATTATTCTCATAGTTCAGCTTCCTTCTGATCTCCATTCTGAATGTACTCAAGTTCTACCCATACGCTGTATCTTATTGCTCATGAGCTTCATTAGTTGATGGGTACAACTACACCCTCTCCTACATGCCTTTTCTGAGAGCTACCACAACCTCTTTATACTTTCCTTCTTGTAACTAAAGCCAAGCTCTTGGCCTTATCCTTTAAGACTGGTTCTTAATTCCTACTATTGCCATACTAGCTCTTCTTTCCATTCCTTCAGATAGTTAATTTTCCTTAAACATGACTAACCAAAACTGCTTACAGCACCCCAAATACTTACTACTGCCTTGTACAACAGCAGTAAGTTCTTCCTGTCTCAACCAGAAGGATTTTCCTGACGTATCCTAGGACTATGTTTGCATTTCTCACAACTGCAACATACCACGACTCGGTTACTGAGGAAAAACCACACTGAGACTTCACTACTGAAGGGAACCGGTTTCTGGTGTGTACAGCTGCTGTTCGTTAGAAGCTCCCCACAACACTGCCCAGCGATGTAAGAGCGGAAGTCAAGAGTGATCCACAAAATCCCAGTGGAAGTGGGACTTCAGTGAGGTGACAGCAGCAGTTACTGAAACCGGATGCATGCCCAGAACATCAGCATGAATGCTCCTGCTCTTGCACGCCAGTGCCCCAAGGTCCTTCAAACACCTGTTAGAAAAAACCTTGCCATTTTTGTAGGACCAAATACAATCCAATTTGTCTTCCTGCAGCTGCATTTCTCCCTCTGCAGCCTAATACAGGGCTGTGACTTGAACATTATTTTTCCTATAATGCCTTAAATTCAGACTGGAAGTAACACAGGCTAAATGAGACATTAGCTTACGCTAAAGCTGCCTTTTGCTTCTCAGTGTATATATACCGAAGGAGAACCACTATACAGAATGATAGCTCAAGACTAATTCAATTTCCAAAGTTACAGTTCAAG